ACCAGTATGGACCAGTATAAACCAGTACGGACCAGTATGGACCAGTTAGGGACCGGTATGGACCAGTTAGGGACCAGTACGGACCAGTATGGACCAGTACGGACCAGTACAAACCAGTTAGAGACAAATATAAACCAGTATGGACCAGTATAAACCAGTACAGAGTGATTATGGACCAGTATAAACCAGTTAGGGACAAGTATAAACCAGTATGGACCAGTATGGACCAGTTAGGGACCAGTACGGACCAGTATGGACCAGTATGGACCAGTTAGGGACCAGTACGGACCAGTATGGACCAGTATGGACCAGTTAGGGACCAGTACGGACCAGTATGGACCAGTATGGACCAGTTAGGGACCAGTACGGACCAGTATGGACCAGTATGGACCAGTTAGGGACCAGTACGGACCAGTATGGACCAGTATGGACCAGTTAGGGACCAGTACGGACCAGTATGGACCAGTATGGACCAGTTAGGGACCAGTACGGACCAGTATGGACCAGTACGGACCAGTATAAACCAGTTAGGGACAAGTATAAACCAGTATGGACCAGCACGGAGTGATTATGGACCAGTATGGACCAGTATGGACCAGTACGGAGTGATTATGGACCAGTATGGACTGGTATAAACCGGTATGGAGTGACATAAACCAGTATGGACCAGTATGGAGTGATGTAAACCAGTATAAACCAGTATGGACCAGTATAAACCAGTATGGACCAGTAACCCATCCTAGTAACCCCAAACCCCTCCCAGTATGGCCCAGTCCCTCCCAGTCCATCCCAGTCCCTCCCAGTTCAATCCCAGTCCCCTCCCAGTCCCTCCCAGTCCCTCCCAGTCCCCCCCAGTCCCTCCCAGTCCCCCCAGTACCGCGGGTCCTCCTCGGGCTGGTTCCCGGCCAGCAGCGACATCACCGTGGATTTCCCGGTGCCCTGCAGCCCCAGCGCCCCCACCACCAGCACGTCCGTCTGCTCCAGCAGGAACTGGGATATACTGGGAGTCACTGGGAGGGGCCTGGCCCCGCCCCCGGCCACGCCCACCCTGCCAGAGCCACGCCCAACCCACTAAGCCCCGCCCTCATCCCATTCAGCACAAACCCGCCCACCCCGGGAAGCCCCGCCCACCTCGAGGGCGCTGTCGCACCAGTTCATCTGCTCGTCCACCAGTTTGATGCTGGTTTTCATCTTCTCGGGCGCCGCCAGCCGCGCCTGCGCCTGCGCCGCTGGGGGCGGGGCCGGGGGGACACGCCCACGTCAGGGACACGCCCACAAGGCCGCAAAACCCCACCCATTGTTGGTAATCAGCAGTTCGGCCACGCCCCCCCGGGAAACTCCGCCCACTTTCTCAACCCCCAGGATTGACTGGAATGTTGTAGCCACGCCCACAAGGTGTGGCCACGCCCATGTGGTCGCACCCATCGTGGCCACGCCCCCAACCCAAACCACGCCCCTTTCTCCCACATAATTCCCATTGTTTTAATATTTAGCCACACCCACAAGCTGTGGCCACGCCCACAGCGGCCACACCCAAATGTGGGCACGCCCCCAGCTTAAGCCACGCCCCTTTTGACACGCAACCCACCTCATTTTCATATTTTAGCCCCACCCACAATGGCCACACCCACAGGGGCCTCACCCAGTCATGGCCACGCCCACCAGTGAAACCACGCCCCTTTCCTACAGCCAATAACAATTTAGCTCCGCCCACAATGGCCACGCCCACATCAGCCACACCCACCCCAAGCCACGCCCATCCCCATAAACCCCTTAATTAGTTCGATTTAGCCCCGCCCACTGAATAAACCACGCCCATTTTAGCCCCTCCCACCTCCCGCGCTCTGGCCCCGCCCCCTTAAGCCCCGCCCACTCACGGTCCAGCGCGGCGGGCGGGGCCAAGCCCCGGCTGTGCAGTTGATAGACGGGCTGGGTGGGGCGTGGCCCCTCCCTCTCGGTGGGCGGGGCCTGCGCCGGCCCCTCCCCCGCCGCCGCCGAGGCCACGCCCCCTCCGCGCCCCTCCTCCCCCCGCGCCTTCATCAGCACGATGGGCGGGGCCGGCGCGGGAGGGGGCGGGGCTTGCACCGGCCCCGCCTTGGGGGCGGCCGGAGGCGCCTGCTGCGGGGAGATGACGTCATGGGGCGTGGCCGCAATGAGTGGGAGGAGTCACGGCTGGTTTTAGGAGTGGCCACGCCCCCTTTGTTGGCGGCCACGCCCCCCGGCTCACCCGCTCGGCCGGGGGCTTGGCCAGGATGATTGGCGTCTTCTGCAGGGGCCCCGCTGGCTCCTCCCCCTGCTCCTGTGGGCGGGGCGAGGTCAGTGAGGCCACGCCCACAACGCTCACACACAGCCACGCCCACCCAGTATAGCCCCGCCCCCTTCCTGGCCTCTCATTGGTCATTATTTGTATCTTGGCCACGCCCACACCCTTAAAAGCCACGCCCCCACATTGCAGCCATGCAACTGTCAATCAATCCCAAGCCCCGCCCTCACACCGCCAATGTCAATCATCTGCAAGCCACGCCCCACATCCTGCCCTGCCCCCACTCTCTCGCTGTCAATCATACCATGCCCCGCCCTCTCCCACATTGGCTCCTCCCACCGCAAGCCCCGCCCCTGCTTCCATCCCCTCACAACCGCTGTCAATCATTATAAAGCCCCGCCTCACCACCGCACCCACAATGGCTGTCAATCAATATTAAGCCCCGCCCCCAGGACTCCCATCCCCTCAGAACTGCTGTCAATCATTATCAAGCCCCGCCCCACCACTGCTCCCACAAAGTGCTGTCAATCAATATTAAGCCCCGCCCCCAGCATGCCCATCCCCTCACAACCACTGTCAATCAACCCCAAGCCCCGCCCCCCCTCCACTCCCATCCCCTCACACCCGCTGTCAATCAACCCCAAGCCCCTCCCGCCTCACCCTTAGCCCCGCCCCCTCCCTTAGCCCCGCCCACCCTCCTCTCTCCACCTCCCTCCGTTTCCTTCTCTCGGTTCCAGCAGCGGCGCCGCGCGCCGGGGGCGGGGCTTTGGCCGGAGTCCGACATGGCGGCGGCACCGGGGCCCGGGCGGCTCCTGAGGGGTCCCGGAGAGGTTCGGGAGGGTCCCGGTGGCTCCGGAGGGGCTCCCGGAGGGTCCCGGGGTGGTTCGGGAGGGTCCCGGTGGCTCCGGAGGGGCTCCCGGAGAGGTTCCGGGGGGGTTTAAGG